CAGGTAAAACCATTGTCTTGTAAAGGCGTTCTGCAGCAGCCATGGGAATGGAAATTCTCAGACGCCTAAAAGCACCCAATTTCCTTGAGACCTTATTGACCACGCGCTCAATATGGTTGTTAAAATTGACTCAAGTGCTGATCAATTACAACGCCAAGATATTTGAAAGACTCGGATTTTTTCTAGGAAGATCCATTGCAGAATAAGCTTATACTATCCTCCCGCTTAAGCCGTTGATGCAGGCCACATATCACATATTCAGTCGTGCTCATATTAAAAAAAAAGCTTATTTTCTTCCATCCACGAAGAAATACGGTTGGTATCGTTGTTTAGGCTTGCTTCTAACTCAATGGCAGTTTTAGCGGTAAAAAATAACACTGCATGGTCTGCATAAAGAAGAACTTGCGAGAAGCAGATGCAGGAGGGCATGTCGTTTATGTACAATATAAAGAGCAGGGGCCCCAAAATTGACCCTGGAGGGACGCCAGAAGTTATATCCAGGGGCGAGGAGAGAGCTTTGTCGACCTCTACGCACTGGGAACGGCCTAGCAAATAGCTAGAAAACCAAACAAGAGTCCTGTTACATATGCCATATCTAAACAAGGTGTTCCTCAAGGATCATGCTTGGGCCCTGTGCTTTTCACTATCTACACGCGCAAACTGTTTCAGATTGTTGAACGCCATCCTCCACAAGTTCACTGCTACGCGGACGACACACAGTTGTATGTATCATTCAGCCCTTATTGATCCGTGGATGCTGATTTTGCCATCAAGTCCATGACTGACTGTATCAATGACATTCGGAGTTGGACGATTTCAGATAATCTTATGTTAAACGATAACAAAACAGAATTTTTAATTATAGGTACCAGGCAACAGCTGGCCAAGGTTAACATCAATTGCATTAGGGTTGGGTCGATTGATGTTTGTCCCGTAACAGTAGCTAGAAACCTAGGCTCATGGTTTGATGAGCGGCTTACTATGTCAACTCATGTTAGCAAGTTATGTGGTGCTGCCTTTTATCATTTGCATAATATCAAACGCATTCGCAAATATTTGTCTCGAGAATCGACAGAAATGCTTGTCCATGCATTTATTACATCTCGTGTTGATTATTGTAACAGTCTTTTGTATGGGCTGCCCAACTACCAGCTTCACAAATTGTAGAGAGTTTTGAATGCCTCTGCCAGGTTAGTTTGTAATGCATCTAGGTTTTGTCATGTCTCACTCCTTCTTCGCGGTCTGCATTGGCTTCCTGTTAAAGCCGGATAGAATTTAAGATTCTGCTTATTACGTTCAAAGCAATTCACGGCCTTGCTCCTAAATATCTATGTGATTTACTAACATTTAAATCGTCCTTATATAACCTTAGATCTTTAGATAGTATTTTACTTTCTATACCAGCTACTCGATCCAAGACGTTAGGTGATCGAGCTTTTATAGTAGCAGCGCCAAGGCTCTGGAACTCTCTTCCAAAAGAACTTCGTGCAATTAATAATGTGAACAGTTTTAAGGCGCATATTAAGACTTATCTTTTTAAAACTTTTTATCGGTGAGCAATTTTATATTCAGTTCTATTCTCAGTTTGACATATTATATTGTTTAAGTTAATTTTTAATTTAATCAAAAGTGTAATGCGCTTTTGATCACTGTAAGTAAAAGCGCACTATAAATTGATCAATTATTATTATTATTATTATTAAGTTCAAATTTATTGCAAGTTGAATTGAGTGTAGGAAGTTGAAATTAAATTGATTGACAGAAACGTCGTAAAGTAGAACTATAGAAAATGACGGACAGTTTAGGAGAAAGAAGCAACTTTTAAATTCAAATTTTGAAGGAAATTGCTAAGAACGAAAACACCCAATAAAGCACAAACAAATGGCTAAATGTCTGGTGCTCTTGGGCTTCCATAAACGGCTGCGACAAAAGTATTGAAACGCACGAACTCGACTCAATTTCAACTCAACTCAACTCAACTTTATTAATTATGGCAAATATTACAGAAAGCAATATCCGCTGCTCGCAGTTAGCAGATTAGCTAGTCGAGGCGAGCAATGGTTACACGTATGCTATACATATACAAATACAAATGGCTCGCAAGAAAGACTAGAGAAAAATAGTACAAAATGTTAAATAAATAAACAAATAAGTAAAAATAACTTCAATTTAATTAAGTTTACATTGCAAATATAAGAAGCCGAGTTTTCAGGAAATTTTTGTTATTAAGTCGGGTAAATCAATATAATCATTTTCTTCTGAAAGTATTCGGAGTAAAGTGTCGTGGACATTGATTTTAAAGTTATTTTTGGACATATGACGTATTTCACACGGTAAACTATTCCAGATTTTTACACCATACCTCGAAAAAGACTTAGTTTGTGTGTCTAACCTGGAGTGTTTAAGATAATATTCACCTCTTGAAGATGATCTTGTACTATATGAATGAGTATTAGATTGGGAAGCAAATAAGTTAGATATATTAGTAGGTGTTAAGCTGTTGGATATATCGTGCATTAGAATAGTAACGGATTTAAAGTAGAGTAGATCTAAGGGAAGAAAGCTTGAGAAGACAAAATAAGGTACTGCATAAGAATTGTAGTCACCAAAGAACATGAGGCGGAAGCGCGCTTTTGAAGAATAAGAATAATTTTGTCTTTGTAAGTTTTAGCATCTTGGCCCAGCCACAAGCGATTATGCCTTACAATATGTAGAATTGAATAAGAGATACGTATACGGGGTGTAAAGTATTCAGGGATACCAACTGTCTTAGAATGGCGAAAATGCCAATTGTTTTACTTATTTTTGAAGCGATATGGGCGGTATGGTCTTTCCTAGAGATATTTTCATCAATAAGCACACCTGGATATCTGACATAATTTTTTCAATCTAAAGAAATGTACTAGTTGTTATGATGGTCAAGTACTTTCAAGTTGACTTGGTGATTTAACTTTTTTTGTCTTGGTCTAAAAATGACAAAGTTAAATTTCTGGAGGCTCTAAAACAATTTCTGGAGGAGTATAAACAACTGGTCCTACGAAAGACGGAGAGATGAAAAAACTGATAGCCTTCATGTACTGGTCGCTGCTAAGCGATTATCTGATTAATAATGATACGAAGATGACGATCATAATGATTTTGTTTTTCGTTATGATTATTATTATGATTTCTTATATTGTAACTTCTCAATTGCAGTTCCTTCACTGCCTGCTAGTGACTTTAATTTGACTGCAATCAATTCTTCCAGTATATCGGCATCCTGGCAGTTACCACCAGAAAACTCCACAAATGGAATCATCAGAGGATTTAAATTGTTCTACAAAAAGAAAGCCTCTTCAGGGCCAATAAGCATATTTCTCATTAGCAATCAAGCAACTCGCATTCAAAAGGTTACTGGGCTTGATGAATACACTGAATATGAATTTGAAATATTGGCATTCACTTCTGTTGGGGATGGACCAACGATTACTGCTGTTTTTAACACAAAGGAGGCTGGTAAGAAATAGGGTACTATAGAATTCTTCTTTCTGTGAGAAGGAGAAAACTGTGGATGTTAGAAATGTCTCTAGAATATTAGAGGAAATCAAGTCGTCTCGAGAAAACCTATTTAATTCGTCTATTTGCCTGATCTCTGATGTGATAGATCTTAACACAATTTTAAACATTCCAAAAGTACAGTTTTATTTAGGTGTCTACGGTGCCCTTAATTTTATGGAAAGACACCTTCTCCTGTACATGCATGTTATTAATGCTATTAGAACATACCTTATTATTACCTAATCTCGCGGGTATTCTAGGATTTAAAAAAAAAAATAGCCAAACTAAAGACCAGCATAAAATACTTTCGTGAAAAAATAGCATCGCAAAATTTAATGTACTTCACCAGCAGTAGACAAAGCGCCACAGTGCCAAAAGATGGGAGAAAGCAAGAGTTGCTGGGGTAATATGGGGTGTGTCAGCTCTTCCTCCCGAGGATCCATTCGAAGAAATTGCCATTGCCCTTCAGGGTCCTTCAGCTGTTAGTGTAAATAGATGCTGTCGTATACTCATGTATAGCTCTGCTTCATTTCAAAGAAACAAGTCAAACTGTTTTTCAGTTTCGTTTTGTTGTAATATGGTTTTATTCAGTGTCATTGGAAACTATTGCATGACGGAAAATGAAAATCAGTTGTGCCGATTTTGAGACTAACCGTTTGCTCATGAAAATTAGTATTGTGTCAGTTTTTGAGAATTCTGTGGTTCCTTTTAATACGTACTTTGGCCAAATTGCGAAATTTAAGGCCCGAAAAATATTCCAGTCCATTTTTGCGAAATTAAGGTTCTCGCCAAATTAAGTAACAATAAGATACTTCCAAATGTTCAAATTGGTGACGGCTCTAGTAGAATACCAGTTAAGAGGGCTATTGTCACTGTTGAAAGTGATATGATCATAAGGAAATAATTTCATAAAATTAGATTGAAATTTGCTCATGTTATGGCAATTAGATTCGTAAATTTTAAAATGTTTAACAGTTAAAGCTACGTATGTACATGCGGAAGAAAGGGGAAAGGTTTCTAAAGAAACTGTGGTGCTGCGTCGTTGAGGGTAACGAGGTAATTTAGTAATATCGACTAGGTTGAAATTGTAAATTGGCTACCATAAAAGGTTAAAAGGCAGACGTTTTGAGCGTTAGCCCTTCGTCAGAGCGAATGGAGGAATTGAGTGTGGGTTTATTTGCAGAAAGCGGAATTAACTTCTGACCACGCACTACAAACGTCACAGAAGGAAAATTCCGACCGCATTCCATTCACTCTCACATTTTAACCTCACAACCACTCAGTTAAATCCATTATAAGATGTAATGTAGTATTTTTGTGTTGTACAGCGAGGTTCCATCTGCTGTTGCCATGCTTAAAGAACTACAAACACGAAGTTTTCATTTCTTAAGAAACTATCCGCATAATTGTTACTTTTAGATTAAATACTTTGCTTTGACTACTTCACGTTTATCAAATCTCAGGTAAACCTATCATCAAAGATCTGCCTAAAAAAACCATTACAGCAATTGGCGAACTTGTAGTGTTGACTTGTGAGGTTAGAGGGGACAATGAGGCTTCTGTTACGTGGTTCAAAGATGGACTTACTAGGATACCTCGCGCTCAATTGGAGAACAACGGCAGAAGACTTATTATAAAAGATGTTGTTCCTGGTGATAGTGGCGTTTATGAATGTAAAGCAGTGAACATGTTTGGAGAGAGCCGTACAGCTACGATAGTCATTGTCGCTGGTACGTAGAAACTGATTTACAATTACACTGAACACTGAATACAACTGCATAATCATTTCTTCTGTGAGGTAAATATGTGGAGGAGTAGGTGTATCATTTTCTAACAACTGAAACACGCTAGATACTCCTTGTTGAATTTGGAGGTTGAAATTAAAAACATCAGTAACAACAAAGCAAACTACCACTTAGTTAACGCGCAAACTAAAAGTACATGATGTTCGTGTCCCCATATGTTTGTTATACTCTACTCTGTTGGCATGAGTATGATTTTTTCAAAATTTCTTTTGGCCATAATAATATTTTAATAATAGTAATAATAATAATAATAACAATAATAATAGTTTAATATTTATATTGTGCAAATTAATATGTAGATATGATCAAATGCGCATCACAACACTTTTCGGGGGACTCTGGCCGGACTGCATCAGCAGTTTACAAACAATCGAAGGAAATTTATTTGAAGATACCCACTCCCCCCCAATTGCCAGTAAACAGGCCAGACCCCATCACCCCTGACTAACCAAATTAACAAATTAATAGATGCAGGAGAGGACCTACGGTTTATTTGTCGTTATCCGAGAAGAATAGAATGTCTATCCCTTTCTTGATATTATAGAACGAAAGGTACCGCATTCTCCTCAGTTATTTTAAGACCTTGGGTGTTGGTCCGGCCGGGGCTTATTACATTCAGTTTCTTTCTTTCACACAGTGCCACCAAGAATTAACGAAGAGCTTTCCCCTTCTTCAGTGATGTGTGAAAAGCAAACTCCGTGCTTCCTCTCATGTCAAGTAACAAGTTATATTCCGTTGAACTTCTCGTGGACGAAAGATGGCCAGGTTCTAACTGGTGCTAACATGAAGTTATTGAATAACAGTGTCATTGTCACGCCGCGGGATGGACGAGATTATGGGGATTATGTGTGCCACGCTACAAACAGCTTTGGGTCAACAGAGTATAAAATCACCCTGCTTGCTCCTAAGGATAATCAGCATGATGATGGTAAATATTCTTCTTCACTATTCGAATGCACTAAAATGTTTCGTCTCAGACATTTTTGGAAGCTTAGAACTTTCAAGTCCGGTATGAAGTGTTTAGGCTATTTTAGAGCTGTCTGAACAGGTTTCAACATGTAGGTATCAAAAGCAACGTAATGTACTGGTCTGTTACACGGCCGAGGTTGTGCAGTGTGAGATTACATTTTCTTTCGTCAGTTAGAAAATTGTTTTAGATAATTGTTTTATTTTAGTTAATTGTTTTATTTATTATAGAAAAATTGAACTGTTGGGTTGTTACTAAACTAAAACAGAGCTATATGTACCATTTTTGAGACGGCTTAATAAAATATGTTTGTGTTTCTTGTAGAGATTACTGGAAGTCATATATGTGACTTGATAACGAAATGTCGAGTCACAGGCTTACCATCTTAAATATCTGTGGTTTCGGGTTTATATGGTAATGGTTCCTGTGACATTTACAGAGTCGTTACTAATGTAGTTCAAATATATTGCCTCTAGAATCTGTCCTTAGTAGTCAGTCTTCAAAAAAAATCAGCTCCGAATAAAGATTAATAGTTCATTACTTGTTTGGAAGTGTTTTTTCTGCCAGGAAGCCTCAAAATCGCTCGTTTGGGGCTGTCAAAGTTCGGCGGTTAATTCGACTCGCTCTCTATTAGTGAAGAAATGCGACAAGGCAAGCAGCTTAGGCATCCAGATCGCACACCACCTCCTATTCGAGACAAAAATATTTTTTACCTTCTAGGTGTTATTTTGCCACCGAAATTCAACAGGCCACAGAAGGATTATCCAGCTGTCACGTGACTCGGTTTTGAATCATTCCATGCATTCAACGGTTTAAGAGAAAATGGAACGCAAAGTCGTAGATTCGGAGCTGGAGCTCTTCTAGGGGTCCGGACATGAGGGGTACTAAAAGGAATTTCAAACATGCGTTTCGGTTATCGAATTTTGGACCCAGCCACCCCACCCGAGGTACAAACATTTGAAAAATGTGAAAAATTGTACCCCCTGTCGGAGCCCCAAAGGCGCAACTTTGTACTTCCGGCGGATGTCGTAAGACAAGATCGACCAATAAGAATCGAGAAAGTTTTTGTCAACAGTCTTAGGAAAATCCATTGAGTGTTAGATACGATAACCGAAACGCATGTTTGGAATTCCTTTGAGTACCCTTCGTATCCGGATCCCTAGCAGAGCTCCAAATCTATGACTTTGCGTTTCATTTTCTCGTAAACCGTTGAATGCATGGAATGATTCAAAACCGAGTCACCGTAACAGCTGGATAATCCTTCTGTGGCCTGTTGAATTTTTCGGTGGCAAAATAACATCTAGAAGGTAAAACATTTTTGTCTCGAATACGTGGTGGTGTGCGATCTGAATGCCTAAGCTGCCTGTCTTGTCGCATTTCTTCACTAATAGAGAGCGAGCCGAATTAACCGCCGAACTTTGAAAGCCCCAAACGAGCGATTTTGAGGCTTCCTGGCAGAAAAAACACTTCCAAACAAGTAATGAACTATTAATCTTTATTCGGAGCTGATTTTTTTGAAGACACTAGGGACAGATTCTACAGGTAATATATTTGAACTACATTAGTAACGGCTATGTAAATGTCACAGGAACCCATTGCCATAGAAACCCGAAACCACAGATATTTCAGATGGTAAGCCTGTGGTTGAGTTGACAGGAATTCGAAACTTCTGGCATTCAATGGCGTTCGACCACGAGACGAGACAACAGAACGTTTGAAATTGTATTCATGTTTGGAGCTTAAAAGAAACATCGTATTCCTTAGGGTGAATCTACTTAAAGAACATTATTGCATCGAAACAAAGTAACTAAGCAGTGTTTGATAGCTGGTTCTTAAGCCGTTTGTTTTCTTTTAAACAGATACACAAAGCATCTTCGCTGCCAGTGTCACCTCATTGTCTTGTATTGTGGTCGTGTTGCTCATTATAATTTGTGGGCTGATATGGCGGCGAAGACGAGCTGTTCCTTATAAAAGGATGCAAACTGAAACAGAAATTGACTCGGATGGCGTCAAATCTTCAGCTGATCAACAGTCAAGCGACGAACAAGCTTCAAACCTCAAAACATATGTGGAACTCAAACCCTTGTCTTCGAACCAGGAGTCTCATATTTCTTTCTGAGTATCAGTCGTTACAGGAAAAACTCGAGAGTCCCGGATATTACAATATGGTGCTTCAGCAAGAAAATGGCAGGAAAAAAATTAAGAAGTGTTTGAGGAAATATGATAATCCTTATACTGATTTTTTTTATCTGTTTAGTTAAGATTATCCGTTCTGTTTTATATTATAAGCTTAACTATAAACGTATTCTGATTTGGTCTTAGTTACACGTAGGATCTAATGGAGGACAGATGTATAGATGACGTCACCATTAACAACATCTTGCTTCTTCATTGTATAAAACAATTGCATTCTGTTCTGTAATGAGTCACGAAAGACCTCAAAATTTTTTAAGAACGTCAGTGCAACTCTCGGCTAAAAATCGTGCGCCACTTTTGTATTTTCACCCCATTTTGACGTCATCTGTCATCAAAAACGGAACGAACAGACGCACGGCAACATGGGATCTAATTGTTAACTAGGAACGGTAGTTTAGTTTGTGACGCAATTTTTGTTCTTGTCTCACTGAAAGAAGTAATAAAAAACTAGGCAATAAAGTCCCATGCGTTTTGATTGCCTTCCTTCCTATCATCGTCATGATCACTATTAGTATCATGGTGTCATATGGGATGGGGTTATCCAAAATCATAGTAAAGAAAATATGCGATGTACACTGACAACAACAGTATTCTCGATGACACCGCGGAAATACGTTTTCGTGACGTCACAGTAACTAGTCAGTGGTCATCAACTTTAAGCTACTAAGCGCTTCCATATGTTTGTAAATTGAGTTCGATGAAGACCTTGGCCTTTTGCGTGGTTTTAAGTTGGAAAATATGCATAATACTTCTCCTTGTTTGTTATTTTTGATCCTTTGAATGGTTTTTTTAAAACTAAAACCACGTCTTAACAAATAGCGTTATAGGGGAGTCATTTTGTTTGGAGTTGTGTGCTGTTTGCTGACTTAGGCTGGCCGTCCAGTTACGAAGCGCGATCTTGGTTCTTCAGTCGCCCTCGCCTTCAGAATTGTCAAAACAGCGATAGTTATCCAGACAAAGAAGGAGATTAGTTCTGTAAGATACTCTTCCAGCGAGTCTGAAGACTGGTTGGATTTTTAAGTGTTATTAGCATGAAGCGATACAGGTAATTATTGTGTTGTGAAAATATACATACACTCACTTTGCGCCAACCTGCGGTGCCTTTTCATTTTGGTAATTATTCGCTTGGTTGAGAATTTTAACTTTATAGACTGATTTTTCGCCATTCCACCGTTCTGATTTTCTGTGCCTTTAAGAACGGGTGTCCGTAATCAAAATATGAAAACATTTGTTCATTTCATATATACTTGCAGTTTTATCAACAAGTTATCTCGTGCACAGGCACAACCAAACGTACTAAAGACATGTAATAGAGATTTGCTATCAACTGCTGTCAATAAAGGCTTAATTCAAGTTAAATTATAAATGAACCGATCATGTTGGACGGTCTCAAATATTGCATATTTTCAGCGCCCACAATCAATCGCCTATTTAATCTTTATCGAGCCTTGGCGCAGCAAACAATTCACAATTTCTTCGATTTCCACTTCCTTTATAAACATCACTAAACAAACGTTATTCTGTTGCGACAACAGCTACTTTAATTTCCCAAACAGCTCTAATTGTTTTACACGAAAGCATTTTCAATGAAACCCACTTTATTATTATTATTATTATTATTATTATTATTAGATTTTTATAACTCAGTCATTTGAAACTTTTACAGGCATATGTATGTTTACCTGAAGTATATTCCTCTATCTTGCATGTGCATTGCATTAATTTATGCAAATAATCAATTACTCTTCTTCCATTCATTTTTTTCTAAGATTAGCTTTGCTTTGCTTTACATACACATCACATGCTCTGCCACTGTAAGGATAATTATGATCCCCATCAGTAATATTACTTCATATCCCTACAGAACATTGTTATGAAACATTCCTATTTGACTTGTAGCCATTTTCTTTCAAGGTGGCAATTAT